CCGCACGTCATATCCGCTCTTGACTTGCTTTACCTAACTAGACCTTTCCTTCCTTGGATAGCTGTGCGAACAGACGGGTCTCCCGATCTTGCAGCTGCCGTCTGCCGCCTGTCTGTCTGCCTGCCCGTTGGTGCTCTGCGAGGTAACCGCACGTCCGGTGCGGACGTGCATACTGCCATACCATACTCCGTACCTTCCTTCCAATGGTGTTCGTACTCCATACTCCATACTTAACACTAACACTGAACGATATGTTCGCCAGAGAAGACCGTTATTTCCTTCTTTTTTTTTAAAGCCCCTGCCGAACAATGTTGATGACTGGCGATACGTCCTTGCGCCCACGCATCGTTTCATACCTTTCAACTTTTCGTAGGGCAGCAACAGATCACCCGTTCACGCTGTTGTCTCTCCTCAAGCACGTATGCCGGACATGCGTCCAACCTAAATGCGAGTACATCCTAAGGACATTGAGGCTGCGAGGGCGGGATGTCAATGATTGGCAAAACATACCCCCCTGCCCTTCCCTGGCTTAGACACACGATACCCAGCCTGTATGTTTGTTTGTTTGTTGTGCAAAGACTGAGATGGACAAACAGGCCGGCCCCCATCCCCATCTCATCTCATCTCATGGTAAAGGAAACACGATTCCCCATCGAACCCCAAGTTCCAGATCAAATGCCAATGGGAATGGGAATGCAACCTCAACTGCATCGGTAAACCAACGCCCCCCCCCCCCCCCCCCCCCCCCCCCCCCCCTCCCCCCCCCCCCACCCCCCCCCAAAAAAAAAAAACCAAATCTCCCCCCTCCCCCCCATACTACAACAAAAACCCAAACGAGAGGGGGAGACCCCCCCCCCCGCCCGGAAAACACCCCCCCCCCCCCCCCCCCCCCCGACCCGATGGTTTCACAACAGGGATGACAAAAACAGTCTCTTCAAAATTTGGTCCCTCACCGGTTCCCAGACCTGCAGAACGGATATCACTACTCATATCCGCGGCTGTGGTTCACCCCGATTCGATCTCGGCGTGCAACAGACAACAGGAAAAAGGAACAACAATCGTCACAGCCAAATAATCTCAGCCAAATTCTTCCTCAATCAGGACGGGGAGCCCCGCAGCCCAGACATTATGGAGATCCATCCACGATCCACCTCCCACTCTCCTATCCCACCCCGCTCGCTCGCTCTACGGAGTACTCGCCGCCCTCCCCTCATGCCGCACGACGTTTACGAACACTTTATCGGCGGATGAGGCACCTTGCCATGCCCTGGCACTTGCTTATGGTTCTCTGTTCTGTGCATGCGGTATACTCCGTACGGATTCCCATGTTTCGAAGAAGCCTCACAGCCTCAGCCTCACTTCCCAGCTTCTTCCCTGGTTCTCTCTCTTCCCTACCAAATTCCTGGATGTATGCTAGTCCTTTACCTGATAGTGCGTCCGTGATGTGACGTCTTGCTCAAACCCGTATACGAACAGAAATCTCAGCTAGAATAGCCCCTGATCATCGCCGGACGTAATGCATCTCGATAATTAGATGCCGCCAGATTTCCTCACGAATACAATCTCCCAAGACCCTTGCCAGCTAAGTAGAACAGCGTCAAGACGTAGTTTGTCCCTGTTTTACTACAGCTGGTTAAAGCCACACGCCTCTAGTAACGCCACATTTCACGGAGCTTGGCTCCGGTGCAAGATTGAAGAGAGACCCTAGCCACTAGTCCTGTATTGACGTGCGAATGCTGTGTAGTCATTGCGGGTAGAAAAGCCGGTAGAGTGAACAGAGCGAGACATGCTTGGTGGTGAACCTATCTTGGGCGCAAATTTCCATCATGACAAATATCGCCCCACCCTGGTCCCTCCAGTCTTTAATCTTTAGGCCCGTCGCGCGGCGTGCCTGTGTGTTGACTCTCGAGTCAAACAGTCAGTGCCAAGAGTGCCCCTTCCGGGTGAGCTAAAATCACCTACTGCCGCCTGCACATTCGCAGTACGTACCTTTTCTGTAGGGCAAAATGACAGAAAGTCGATGGTCAGTGCCCCAACACCGACGACAGCATCACATCTCATTTTGACACTGCCATCGACGCAACACTCTCTCACACGTACACAGCCAGCCACATCGTCAATGCAGGTCCATACTGCGAAGACCACCATCAGTCCACTCTCCTGCCGCCGCCTACCTACTTGCATTCAAGCTGAACCTCGTGCTATCGAAAAACATGGCAAACTATCACCTTGAGCTGACGATGAGATAGAGAGACAGAGGTAGGTAGGGAGTGAAGAAAGGAGAAAAGTGGCTGCATAACGACGCAATTACAGTGAAACTACACGATGCCACCAGACGATGGTACGCGTCGGCCGCAGCTCGTGTCTAGGCCATTAGTGCGCCAACACCTCACAAGCGTCGCACTCTTTACTTCGCGGTATCGTTCGTCGCCAAAGACGCTAGAGGACTTTTAGCATGACTTCATGCCGTGTGCACAGATATAACAAAATACCATTGGTACCTCACCCCTCTCAACATTGCGGTACAAAGTCCTAGTCACGTCTCCTTGTTATGCGACGAGACAGAATTGAAGTAAACTGAACTATGCGTCTGAAGGGAACGGGGCAAAATATCAGGGAGCCGGTTCAAGCTACCATTTGGTCCGATTCATAATAGTGGCGCTCGGTCAGCCGCACAATACATGACAGCATTTGTTTGACTTTTGTCTGGTTTATCAGATTTTCTAACATTTGTCATCTTTGGGTTTTTATTTCATTTTTTTTTACTTTCCAACGTCGGGAGGCGAAGATGTTTTTTTATGGGTTACAGGTCCAACGAACCGTTGGGGCTTGAGCTATCCAACAGACGCGTGTCTTACCTTTTCACATGGACTTCAACTGCATTGACATTCAGGGTTTGTACGACCCGGGTTCCGATGGCACAGACTGGAAAACAGACGGCATCGAATGTTGAGGATGATGAGGACGAGGATAACCTCCTTCAGAAGAGGGATCTTGGACTCACAAAATGGGTTACAGAGATCCGATGCCATACACGGCAACACGCAATAGACGTCTAGGTTACGTCAACCAAAATAGGTAGGTAGACAATGCCATTGTTCTCGGTGCGGTGACTCGCGGCTTGGCAACTTGAATCAGCTAACTAACTACCTTGTGTAGCAAATCCGTCCATGTTCACGGCCGCCCTTAACGCCTCCATTAGCACCCATCAGTCCACAGGGTCCTCTAGCCGCAGACTATCAGCAGCCGTTCCACGCGGCCGTCACAACGCTTCTGAAACCTTTTCTGCTGGAAAATATTCCTCTTGTATCGGACCCTGAGGTGCCACGGTGCCGCGGGAGAACGTTATACTTCACCCGCCGCGCGAGGTTCTTGTCTTCACTTGGCCCGCTCGCATATTCAGAGGACGCAAACGGTGTCCCTCTGATTGTGCCATACACGGCGGCTGTATGGCAGCCAATGCGCGAGAAGCAAAGAAGAATGGCTTGAAGTCTACAACAGTTATGACTCCCTGCTTCAGATTTTTGGGTTGGACAGAGAACGCTTTCCACGGCGACCATGCCATCCTGGTTCGCGTCGTGATGTCTCTGCTCTCTTCTTCCCTGGTCCTCATTAAGTGATGATGATGCGGCTGATGATGATGAAGATCTCGGGATGTAGTTGCAATCCGTGGTTGACATCAGCTCTCGCTATGAACAAGCATCATTTCCCAAGACACCATTCAGTCATCAAAGACGATAGCTCTGTGGAGTCACTTCAACAGTCAAGTCGAGGCGGGGAAAGGAGTGGAAGCTTTTCTCCCTCTCCCCTAGTCGTTCATCCGATACCCTTCTTCCCAGATGTCAGAAGCTTTCCGCACATGACAATGTTGAAGAGGCCCTTCACAGTGATGTCTCAGCCAGACGCTATTCGAGGCCACTCTGGCGATGTGTTCAAGAGTCTCGTTGCGCGAATAAAATGGCGATTCACGACCCCTGGACGCGGTCATCCCCGGGCCCGTCAAGCCGCCGCGCAATACAATATGCACCTAGAAGGATGCGGACGCCGGAGGCTTGGAACCGCAACGGTCGAGTCGTCGAATGACACGACACTATTGCCATCATAGTCCTACCCGTACTTCAAAGTAGTCATGGCTCAAAGTCAGATTCGTGGGGAGGGGGGGACTGTGGACGGCCTAGGATTGGACTAGGATTGTACTAGGAAAACCCAACAGAATGACCCAGGAATCTGGTAACGAAACGCCTTCGCTAATCAACCGCCGGCGTTCAAGGTTACAAGACCGTTTTCGTTTTCCCTTCTTGCCTTCATCCGTCACACACCCTCTTTATTACCCTTCCCGCGTCCGGCCGTATCCGTGTCCGACCATCTCCGTGGTGCGCGCAGAATGGCTTCAGCTTGGAAAGGCGGGCCTCCGGAGCAAGTGACCGCATCGGTGCAAGTTTGTTTGCAGCATCTCCCTCGCTCTCTCTCTCTCTGCCACTCGGTCTTCCGCTAATAGAATTGCATTCCTCCTCCGTCCGGCCCCCAACAAACGGGGCCTAGACGCCGGTCCCCCCCTCCAAAGTCTAGAAGTCTAGACTCTTTGGGATTTTTTTCTATACATAATGTTGAGCCTGACCTGGCAAAGCCTGGGCACTAGCGGGAGCTTTTTTGGTAGTAGCGTTCCGCTGGCTTTTCTCCGTCCGCCGAGGGGGGCGTGAAGAAGCCCCCGCTCTCCCGACTGTTTATGGCTTCGTTGGGTTCTGACGCCTTTCACTAGTCTGTTGCTTGGTAGTGGCTTTTCTTCCCATACCCAATTCTGTGTCACTGGCCGTGCCGGATATTGCTACTGATCTGGGTTGGCGAGAAGTTTGTCTCGATGCCTACTCATCTACCCAGTGTTTTCATCACTTCCAACTCTGATATATTTGGAATCGACACTATCGATCACAAGACTTCAAGTATTGTATCGTGTGACTACCAGGCTGTTAGTCGTTATTCTGGTCACATATGAAATCTGATCAAGTGTGTTCAGGGCGGAGGATGTTGTGAATATATGATATATGGTAAGTGACACAAGATACCACCTCGTACTCGAGCCGTGAGCTTGTACACATCCATCCGCGTTCGGCCCGTTGCACACGGCCCGCAGTCGTATCCTCTCTCTTCCACGGCCTCGCCTGATGATCTGTTCCAGGGGTTGGTTTAATTCTCCCCTTTCGCTTCGCGAGCTTCTCTCCGGAACCCTGGTGGTTGTTCAGGCTAGGGTCATGGGCCTCTCGGAGGACAGGAGAAAAGGAAAAAAGTAGTCTCCGGCGGGGGGCCCAGGAGCTCACGTGGCATATCCATTTTCCCTTTTCCCAAGCCAAGTTTGGAGCTTTTGCGGAACTTAGTCTCCTATTTTGGCATGGCACATACATACGCCAGCTCACCGACAGAAACGGCTTCATGCAAGCGCGAGTAAGGATCGAGGAGTCCGATGATGGGGGGCGTAAGCTCACCAAGCATCCGATGGAACACGTCATGTCCACACGATGGCTCGATCTGGACTGTATTTTATGGGCTTTGGACGCGGTTGACACACATGGAGTGACGATGTTCCAGCCAGGCGACGCAAGGAGGGAGGAAAGGAGAGAGAGATATGTTGACATGACCCTGAAACCGCAGCAAGCGTAGTCTACCGTAACTCCTGGAGCAAGTACATTCTGCTAGAAACCCCGCTCCTTCGGAGCAAAATACCGCAACCATCACAACCACGCGATACCTGCTTCTAGCCTCTGGACCAACCTGGGACCGGCCTTGATCCTGTTCCTCGTTGCCCAACCGCTTCAAGGCCTCCCTTGCTGCCATGTGTGCTTGGTTTGCGTGTGTGGTACTTCCGTCCGTTAGGATAGCCATGCTGCGTCCTCAGGCTTCATCGCTGAAGGCTCTCTAGCCGTTGCCTAAGGACTCGCACGACGACTTGTGTGAGCGGGAGCTTCGCCGTCTATCCAGGAGACTAGGTCTCGTGGCCTGTCTGCCACCTTCTGCGCCGATTTGCTCAACCCCAGAGCGTGTTTCGAGTGTATTGCCTTCGTCTTTGTCCAGCGACTCCTGTGCATGACTGTGAAGTGTTTGGTCCTGCTGGTTGGAAGGTCCTGCAGTAAATGATGCCATTGGAGCTACTTTATCTGACGAACGGGGGCGCTGAGGAGGGAAAGCCGCTGGCCGGCCCACGGAAACATCGTTTCCGTAAGGAATACCAGCTTTTCCAGACAGGGCCTGCAGCTGAACGCTATCTTCTACGGCGTCGAAGGAGAAGTCTCTCATATGGCGGCGGGTCCCTGAGGTTCTTCGGCCAGTCGTAGCCGTCATGACATCCGGGTCGGTACCTGGCGGCCGCTCCTGCTTCGGCATGCCCGTTGCGGCCGATCCGTTTTCGGCCAATTCTACGCCGGTATGTGGTGCGTCGTCAGGCCGGTAATGTGTATCGGCATGCTCACAGGTTCCAGGAACGGCGGTTTTCTTTGCGGACGATTCTGGAGTGGCGATCTGCGCGGATGGTGCCGCTCGTCGTAATGGTTGAGGCTTCATAGACTCCAAGCCAGGTAACCTGGTTGTCTTCTGAATCGATGTTGATTTATTTGCTTCTTCTTCCGATGAGCTATCCCATGCTATGTTGAACGACGGAAAGAGGGCCTCCTTCTTCCTTCGTCTCGAGGCCCGCTGTTGTCGTCGTTCGGCCTTTCTCAGACCCTTGCTCAGTTCAACATCGGCATTGTCATCTACTTTAGGTTTCATGGACACTGGTCTGTTAGTATGTACACGGTACAAATGAGAAGGCAGGCGTTTCTAGGTACTTACAGAAGGTTCGATGGTTCAGGAGGGGAGTCCCAGAGCCCATAGAGATCCGTGGGTTATCTAGGCTGTCGACTTTGCTGGTGCTGTCATCACCTACGCGCATCCGGTCAGCAAACGGGATAGGAGTGCTTCCCACTATTGAAGGAATAAGTACCTTTCTGGGGACTTTCTTTAGCCTTCTCGACCCTGGCCTTGAAAAGTCTCGAGGATTTTGCGCTTCTGTCGACGAGACTGCCAGACCTCGCCAGAACCACTGCACCAACACCTGCAGGAGTTACATCGACAAGAACTAGTTCCATACGTTTGATCTCAGCGCGGAAGTCGGCCTCTTTCGACTCCCATTCCTCAGACATCTTGGTGAACTCTTCAAGGCTCTTCAACTTTGTCTCCTTCTCCTCTGCGAGCTCCTGCTCTGTCTTTCTCAGCCGCTCCTGGAGATCCCAGTAACCCTCTAATAAGTGCAAGATGTAGGAGTTGTACTCTCTGGGAACCGGATCGAGGACATTCTTGGTCATCATCGTGTAGTGTAACGCATTAATCATCTGCTCCAGTGAGAGAGCACGTTCCGTCTCGTCTCGCTCTTGGTACCAGGCTGTATCGGCTGGCTCAGTTGGCTCTGCCGGGGATGGCGACAGCCGATGACAGGATGACTGCGAGCCGTCTGATTTAATGCTTGGGCTGTTGCTTGTGCCCAATCTAGCTGCACTCAGAACATCGAGACTCGCAATGCGGGGAATGGGCTTCCACTGGCGCGATCGAACAGAGGGAACGCCGAGGTGCGCAACAGATTCTTCTTCATCCGGAGGTGGATTGCTCAGCGTGAGCTCTGATCTTCTTCGTCGGGGAGGCAACGGTTTTGTCCATGAGAAGTCCGCCATGTTGGCTGGCTGATGGCAGATATCCGTTGGCAACTGGATTGTGCTAGTGAAGAGTGTGTCAACCAAACCGGCATCGAGTACTTTGGTATAAGATTAACGAACGCGGTGAAGTCTTGTGAGTCTTCCAGTGGTGAATTTTGAGATTGATCGTAAGAGACGTAGAAAAGGTGATGTTTTTCAACGGCCTTTTGACGCGTACCTCGACTGTTAGTGACGGCCCAAATTTGACTTATTCGGAAGGCGAATGGCACATTGATATGAAAGAGCAGGAGAGAGGTCGGATTCTGTGCGGGAATCACCGTGGGTGATTGATTGAGGTAAAGGGCGAGTCGGACATGAAGGTGAAGCTTGAATGAGATATCGCCATGTACGCGGATAGGAGGAAGAAACGAGCAAGGGCAGGCGAGGGATCGAAGTCAGGCGCGTTCGACCGATTGGAAGTGGCGAGTACATCAGACTAGGCGTGCCTTCCTCAGCCGCTACATGATACGGGTACTTCGAGCAAGACCAGCAGCTGCTTCCGCCCCGGTATTCTGTTCTCCGGGATGAATGAATGCACAAGAGTGGCTGTCCAACGAGACCTCAGTGGCCTGGAAGTTTACCGACACAGCTCTTGCCTCCCTACCCAGCCGTAAGAGTATTCTAGTTGGATGGTTATCCCAGAATCCTTTCAACTCCCTCTGGAAACTACGAAGAATGTGACGAAGGACGATATACGCGGCTATAGAGCAATCATTCAACACACAATGCCCAGCCTGGACACATCGGTTGCTATAAAGAAGTTCGCCGTCTATCGCGCTAGCCATGGCGAAAGTTCAGGTTTCTATGGCATTGAAATGAACAGCGTGCGCTGTCGGCTGTGTTCCCAAACTCGTCGTAAAGATAGTCTCCTTCATCTTGCCAACTACCAAGATGATTGCATACGCGCTCCAGGTATCGACGCGCTAAGAAAACAGGTCCTCTGCTTTCTGCCGCCGACGGCCACGGCCCTCTAACTTGTCAGCGAATAGCTCTTTTCCCGTATTGCCACCACCTCCAAAGCGGCTCGGGAACAGCTCCTTGACGTTCGCGGCCGCCGCGCCCTTGATGGAGAATCCAGCACTTGAACCTGCATTATCGACTCTGTCCCGATCGAATAGGTCCTTCCTGCCGTGGCGGTCGTTGCTCACGCTCATCTTTTGCTGCATGATTCGCGTGGCTTCGTCCGCGCCGTCCATGACCCTGTCCATATGCGTCTTGCCCATCGATGAGCCCTTTATGGGAAACAGTTCCTTGGATTTGTTGTCTTCAGCTAGACGATCCCTGATGCCCGATGCCCTTTCTCTATTGTTTCGGTTGCTGGCCCTCGGCGCGCGTGCTGCCTCAACGTCCATGGCTGCGTCACCATCCAGATCCCGCATAGGTGAAGCGGAACGATTTCGTTGCCGGTTTCCTGCTCGTGATGACCGCCCAGGGAACAGCTCCTTTTCCTGATTGCGAGACGCATAGGATCGCTCGTCACGCGGCGTCGAATCTCTTGAGCGAGATCTCGGGTGACGTGCGGGTCTTCGGTCTGCCAGTGTGTCCTCATCGTCATCATACATGCTCGCATGGAACACCTCAGGGCTCGAGTCTCGGTCGCGTTGATTTCTTCCACGGCCATTGCGGTGACGATCATCTCCGTCCCGATTGCGATATCTGTTTCTGTTTCCCTCACGTCGTCTTCTCTCCTCCGGGTCAAATTCGGGGTGGAGAAGGTAGAACCGGCTTCGCTCAGCAGCACCTCGTATCTTCTTGTCGGAAATAACGGCAAATCGAATTTGAAGATTGACGTCTGGGTGGGATGCGACGGCCTTGGCTGGAATCGTCTCCTTAGGAGGCAACTGAGTTACGTCGGCAATTTCAATGGCGCTCAATGCTGCCAGAGCCTCTTGTGCCGTACTTTCCGACCCAAAAAGCAGGTTTGCGGATTCGTCATCGATCCACTCAACTCTCTCTGGAGTACCAAAATGACTCTTCACGTAGATTTTGATGTCGTCCGTGGTCAATGTGTCCAGACCTCGGATGTGTACCTTGTTACGTACTATGGTAGAATCTTCGAGGTCGCGTTCATTCGAGGGAGACGGCGCTGTGGCGGGTTGTGCGATGTTCTGTTGACGTTAAAGGTTAGCAAGCAAGCAAGTAGAAGTCGCACCACCAGGTGCGCTACGTACTGTGCCGTCGCCAATCGTCGCTGTCGGAGGTGCAAAGCCGTCGGCTACATCGTCCATGTTAATGTCGTAGTCCATGGCGCTTCCGTTCTGAACTTGATCTGCGACGGCGTGCGCTCGTATGGTGGAGGGGTGAGGATGAGGAAGCAGATCGCGCGAGATGCTGGACGCGCTCCCGCGAATTCAAGCTTGTTTGATTTGTAGTAATTGAGTACTCCGAAGGAAGGCTGAGCTGCGCGGCGACGTTCCCCGGATTTTAAAGGTGGCGGGTTTGTAGAGGGAAGGGTTGGCCAAGATTGTAGAGAAAGAGAGAGAGAAACTACGTGATAAAAGGGCCATTGATCAACCCGACGTCTACTAGTCGGAGCTTACAGGCCGAAAGAGCTTCGGCCGCTTAGCGTCGTGGAGAATGAGGCTGACTGTGCTCAGCGGCACCATTTCCACTTTTGGTTTAGTGGATACGGAGAACCTACGCCAGGTGGGAGGCACTGTGTTCCGGCACCTGCCGGGTCTCACCGGCTCCGAGTCCTGTTCTCCCCGCTAATTTTACTTCCGTCTAGTCCAAAGGTCCTCCGATTCGGGCTCTACCGGCATGCCAACTTGATTTCACAGGCGGGAGCCATCGACGTGGAGAAAAATAACAAGTCTGCCACGCCGAAAATTTGCAGTCCCATTACACCTCGAATTAGGCACAGCATTGTGACAGGTGACTTTTTGTTCAAAAGACCAAGACTACCTTATCCT